CACAGAGGAACGTTGTTTTTAGAAGGAAGTAAATGGAAATGCGATGTTTGTTTAACGCAAAAGTTATCCGCGCCCGTGATGGTTACGCGGCAATTAATCTCATTCCAACCGCCTTTTGTTTTGCAGCGCCGTGCTCTGGCAACGGAAAGGAATGAGGTGCGTTTAGTACTGAATTTGTCTTCTCTACAGTCTATACAAATTACCACAATACTTCGGTACTAGTCCCACAGTTCATAATTTTAGTCAGCGTTCCATTTGTCTCCAAAATTCAGAGGGTTTTGGGTGACTCATCAAAAGTGACGACATCGAAAAATGCTATTTGTAAACAAAAAATATTACATTATTGCGCTACTGTCTTGGTTCCGACGATATCGTCAGATCATCGGGCCGGTGGTCTGCCCAGTGCCCTTTTCGCACCTCTTGGTCACGTTTCCGTGACTGTTTTGGTCCATCGCTTGGTTGTTTGGTCTTCTACAAAGAAAACGAAACAAGACAAACGCAACTGTTAAATATAATACAGGAATGACTAAGAAAAATATATAACATCAAACAAGTGAGATATTAAATTGTTTATTGAATAACGTATTGTACAAATGAATAACTAAAGACTAATTATGCGAATAAATGTAAAATATAACACATATACCTGAACTAGGAGAATCCTGTATTTCAGGTAAAAAATACTGATTGTACAGGTGAATATATGATGATTAGGTAAATTATAAACAAAAAAATTATTAAAATATAAACAAAACAACAATAATAATTAAACAATGAAATGGCAAGTCATAACCTATTACGCTTAAATTGGACAACATTTATCTGTATCATCGTAGGTCATATTTTGAAAGAATTCTTGGAGAATTTTCTTAACCTTTATGTAACAAAAATGATATATGGCCAGTTTGGCGTTTAATTTATTATACAAAATTGGACCAAGAAACACAAAACATCTGGAAATAAACGTTTTGATGATACAATTTTGGGGCAGACAATATCTTTCCGTCTTTTGCTTGTGTTTTCAGTACCATATGGGAGTGCAATGTGCTGTTTGAGAACTGTGGAATTAATAAATAATTGCCTTACATTTAGTACCTTACACGACTTATACAGAAGGTAAGTGAGGTAAAGGAAAGGGCGGAAAATAGAAACCTTTAGAACCGTTCGCTGGGCTCTCTCAATGGTTAGTAATGAAGTTTTAGCAATACCACCCCGAGATGTAATGCAATATGTAATAATTGATTGACATATGGCATAATAAACTTGCCTGATTATTTTAAAATCAGCAAAAGCGCACAGCTTTTTAAACACATTCATTAGCTTACGGAATCGACCACTTAGTGCTTCGATATGGTGCTTAAAAGAGAGGTTATCATCTATTATAACACCTAAATACTTTACCTTGTTAGTAATAGCAAAGTCTGGACACTTGCACAGGTTTTTAGTAGTCTCCTTACAATGGTGAGCATAAAGTTGTGTGTTACTTATAACAGACTTTGGTTTTCGCATATAGAACTGCATGAAAATATCGGTAGAACGTTTCTTCTGAAATTTGTAATTCGCAAAGTCGTAGTAATTCATCGATACCATAAGAAATATCTACCTAGTTTTACTATTACATCAAATTCTCAAGTCTGAAAGTAACTCAAAAGATTTCGCTGTAAGCAATATTGCCAGCGACAGCCGTCAACCACAGACCGCAAAGTCAGGAAGTTAGGGTGTCAAAGTTAGGTAATTATGTCTTGACTCTTGTCCCTGACATCCGAGGACAAATTTGTATAAGTAGCTCGCTTGATCCCATATTTTCTGGATCTCAGTTCAAAAATATTATTTTAAATCTATATTTCGTTTTTTTTTCCACAAACAACTAATTTCTTACTTAATTAAAATGGCTGGAAAAGAACATTTTGGAACTTATTTACGAATCCTACACAATGTCCTGTGTTGAAATACTCGCTTCTTTAAAACAAGTTGTGAAATGCAAACATTTGCTCAGTTACACGCAAGAGTTCCCCTTAATTTCAAAACACGCACACTCGACTCATGATGTCATAATGTGAAGCCTGCCCATAAACAGGGGCATATCATTGTCGTACCCAGGTTCCGTTGCAACTGTAAGTAGGCATCGTTAGATCCGCTGTGGGGAGCCAATAACACGTGGTTGCCATGGCAACACACTGCCGAGAGAGGGAACTCTGCCCTTCAGCGAGGGAGGGCTCGAAAACCAGATAAAGAGACACTTTCAATTTTGAACGATTTGGAACAACGCCACGAACGCCGTGAACCAATGAAGATTTTTGAGGGGTCAAACGTTTTGGACGTCGATTATTTAGTACTTTTTGGTACACGTCCTTCCCGGAACATACCGTTGATATTTTACAGATCGCAATTTGTCAGCAATAAAATCCGCTCGGTACAAATTAAGTGGCTCTTGTTGAATAAGCGATGAAAGTGAAAATTTTAAAGTGATTGGTATTCGAGATAATTGTTGTCGGTACTGGCGAGCTGAAAAGACGAGTTCATTGGCCGAAGATTGTGTTGTGTCGTTAGTTCAAAGAGTTTGTTTTATGGGAAATTAGATCAATATTATTCTACTTATTGTAAATAATTCTAAACACACTGAATACTCAGACTGGTATAGTTAGGAAAATACGTTTAATTTTGGAAATTTGAAATAATTACATTGTTCTATCCATACACTGCCTCCGTGGCCGAACGGTTACCATGCCGGGCTGCCAGGCCTGGAGAAATATGTGTATGGCCTACACTTATTTCTCTCGTGAGATTGGGTGTAATTTGTGGTTGTCTATGTGTGTCCATGGCACCTGTGACACAGGGTTTCCCTAGTGCGGGGCTATGTTGAGTGTGTTCGTTATTATTATTATTCACAAAATTAATATAAATAGATATTTTCCCGAATAAATGAATTTCGTACGTGTTTATAAACTTGTTCAACGAGCACCGGAATAGAATGACACCACATAACCCCGCAGCGTTTGGATCCCTTTCTTGCATTCCTCAGTCCGGCTAGGAAACAGTTTTGTTGAGAATACGCGTCGACTCTTTGTAAAAGGTTAGCTCATTGTTCGCAATAAATTAGGACGAGGCTGGGAGAACTCCGCTTTTGAAATTTTTGGGTCAGTAGCTAATACTTTAGCTTCCCCCGTTGTGATTTTTTAATAGCCTCTTGCTTTAAAGTCTTCGCAAGTTTTGCAATTCCCTTTTACATTTTCTAATTAAAAGTCGAAATCACAAAACCGCATAAATTTTCGTCGTTCGACGTACATCGATACTCGATTCAGTCGTTTGGTCACAATTAAATAATAAATGGTCCAGTTTATAGAACAAAGGCTATGTGAGGCTTGCGTCCCCCAGATTAACAAAGGTTTTACTGACACAGTCACTTTACTACCTTTTGTTACAGTAAATGATATTAGCCTTTCTTAGACCTCGGATTACTTTAAAAGGAACTGCTCAATAGATAACTGAGCAGTTAGCACTAAGTGTAGGGGATAACAATACAATATTATAGAAATTGGGCAATTAAATGAGTGTGACAACAAGAAAAGATAATCCATCAGATACTGTATTTACCATTATGAATAACATGACATATTTTGTAGTGCTAGATGCCTAGATAAAAACGTCTTTAGTAAAGTATAAAGAGCAAAAAAGAACACATGTACTTAGTTCAATCCTGATTCAAGCACTTACAACGCAAGAGTACGATTTGGAATTAAGGAATTAAGGAGATTCATCGTAATGGAGAGGTAAATATTGTTATGAGAGAAGTATTGTTACCTTTCACATAATGTAGCCAAAAAATCTATACTTACATGTCGTATTACATTAAACCCAAAAATACCCCTAACTGATCACGTATTGGATATGAAAGGTCTTGTTAAAAATAAAGAGAAAAAAAAACAAATAACGAAATAGAGTAATAGGTAGCCACTGGCCATCCGATCCAATTTCAAATGAATAGGAAACGTTCAGCTGGTATCATTTATTTTTCTAACGATGAACGACTATCATACCTGGGCAATTGTAAGCACCGCCACAAGTATTTTTTTTATTTAGTTGCAAGTAGGTGTTAGAATACACTATTCCGCCAGGTCAATGTAGGAAAACTGATTTTTCTATATTGTCTCGGTCTGGGTGTTTGTGGTACCGTCATTGTTTCCGTTTTCCTTTAATTACTTACTTTGATATCAGAGCACCGTACGTGATGCTTTCTAATACGTCTAGTATATGCATATAATATTTGCAACTTATACAAATTGGCAAAATTTACCATTAACCTAAATATAGATTATGTAGCACGCATACGATATTCATCTCATATTTATGGTACCATAAAGTCACACCCGAATACTATAGTATGCCTGATCTACTCGGATAAAGTAGCAACAGTACAATCTTTCTTTCCTTTTATGTAAAAACCTATTGGTGTAATGCACAAGGCTTTTTCGTGACGATTGACCTAAAATCGTGACATTGGTGTAATAAAGCTATATTTACAAAATGGCAACTTTTTTCATATGATTCATATGAAACAAATTACGTATAACGCTACGGCATAAAAAGTCGTTAAAACAACCAAAAACAAGGCTCTGCAACAGGCACGTGGAAGGATTCGTAAGGTCCGCTGGTTCGTTCCATGGCGTGGTTAGGCATGGCGTCTGACGCGGTTTGCTGGAAGACGACGTCGGTTCGAATCCGATCGAGGGATTTTTTTCTAATTGTTCGATCTTTGTTATTAATAATTAATTCATATTATTTTAATGACTTTCATGCGATAAAAACGCTTTTGACGTATGAAATATTAAACAATGAATTACATACACAAATATTATTTGGTTTAATATCATTAGATTCTTTTAAGGTCCAAAAAGGAGAAATTCGGAAAGGAACACCCACTGGGTTTTATTTTCTACATTCAAACACAATTTGAGCAATAAATCATGGTTGTTTTGTTTAACCAATGTTATTGTCCACAGGGGAGACGCTCTAGCCACGACACTTTCGGCTCTCTACGGCAAACTTTTGGTTGTGATGGGCATCGCCTTCCCAATGGCTGAAGTTATCTCCACATACATTCCGCCCTCGTTTTACGAGGTAACTAGTCGCTACCAAGTTCTTGGTAACTTTTATTATCAACGTATTGTATATGTTTATTCTTTTCCGACTTTGTAACTAGACACTTGGAAAGTTAATCTTGCACATCAGATATTTTATCCAAGCTTTGTCAAGCTTTCCAGACTAGCTGCTGTGAATTTAAACTCACAACAGTTTGCTTTCAGTCTGTGAATTGTAAGTTTGGCAATGACTACAGTGTGTGCAAAAATTCAATTTATTTTAACATATATGTATATATAACATTGCATTCCATTGCCAATATTTTTGATGTTTCTCTCATTGTCTTGTGTATTTTTTAATGTTTATAAGTTTGTATTGTTTGTCAATAGGGCTTCTATTTGTACCTGTACATCGGCAGTATGGTCTTCCTTTTGTACATGTATGCAGCCCTCCTCAGGGACAGGTCCCGTAATGCTGCAGACACTACGGTTGTTGCAAGTAAGTGTATATCACAATCTACATACGTAGATCTAAGCAATCGCTTGCACCTGCACCATCCCGACTTTACGTTATGTTTTTGAACTACGTGATTACTATTGAATGCAAGACGCATTAAAGGACGTGAAATCATTATGACGATAAGCTTTTTTATGTGTTTATAACTAAGATAAATCCAGAAGGTGAAAGATTTTACAGTTTGGGTTATGAAATTTACTTTGTTGTCTTATAGCCACCGGAGAGAGGCTTTCAATTTCATTCCACAACAGGTTTAACCCTTTTTACAGTAAATTGAAATTCTGACATAGAGACAACACGAAATTTAGAGTTTTATCAAAGTCGCGCACTTGAGACGAAAAGTATTTTTTTTATTTCTTGCCGAAATTAGTTTTAATTTAAGCATTTGCCAAACGGTCCTCGAGAGAGTGGCGCGGTGCGGTGCCGAAACTGAATTACCTCCACTTTCCCTTTCGGTGGAAACGCCTTTTCAGAAAGTTCGCTTTAAATTGCATCATTAATACCGTCTACAAGTGATGCAGCTAGAACCGAAGTAATAAAAACATCATAAAACAGCTACAAGGATAATCAGACTGGCCAAAACAGACTAACCTACATGGAAATCGGTTTGCAATGATCCATTTCAAAGATTATTACAAACTGAGGTTTGGCTCCATTTAGTTGCATGGACTGAGCCTAGGTGCTGCCCTGTCAGGACGTAATTGTAAGGCGAAATCTCCGGGGCTGCAATAAGACGAGTACAAAGTGCCTCAAGCAATTCCGACGCGCGACGAACACGTTTTGGTTTTCTTCCCTTTTATTTGAACAAAGTAAGGGGAAGTTTGTCTCGCTGTCCAGGGAATAAGCAACTCTTTCCATGTTCTTCAGAAACTCCTTTGAACCTTATGAAATTCGTAATATTTTTATAGGTAGATATTAAACTTCTGCTCTGTATAAATTCAATAGAATTAACTTCGTTTTCTCTGTGTCAGCGAGGAAACGAAAATAAAGCGGATTGAAATTGCTAAGCCGAGTTGAGCTGCAGTCAAACGAACTGTATGATTTGTGACATTTCTCCTCGTTATTACCCTTGTTTTTTCAAAAGCCTCAGCTAGAGATTAGTTAGCCGACCCTTCCTGCGAATAGTGGGACAATTTTTCTCGTTTCTTTTTTAACTGGACGATTGCGGAATGTACATTTTTTTATTTAAATGACGCGGAAAACCCCGTCGGCGGGCTGCGAGCACGATTCTTTATAGTAGAATTGTAAAAGTACCGTTCGTTTCGTAAAATACGTGTAGTCGTACAGTAGTGGTGTGGTAATTAAAGACTAAAGGTTTCTGCGGTTATTTAAATGAATTGACTTTTTACTGCTTTACTAGTACCAATGTAAAAGTACTGCTCAGGGTTTTTACTTTGGTGTTCAGTGGAAGATAAATTTTCTATTTATTTATAATTGTTTCTATGCAGAATCGGAGTCATCTTCGTCACCATCAGAATCATCATCGGAGTCATGTTCTTCTCGAACTGAGCGGAGCACAGCGACAGCTGCGCACGCGCCGCCTATGTATTTAGGGAAAAGGTTCTCGTTGGGGTTCGCACTGGCGACCACGTCGGGGGTACGGACGCATCATTATGGCAGCTTCTATTTACGGATGGGCGCCGTTGGTGAGTGCTTATTAATTTATTAACTCGAATAATACAAGTGTAGGTATGGTAAAAGGCGTGAATAAGGTTTTGTAGGTTGACCATATTTCGTAATACGTGTGAATTTATATCCCTAGGTGTCTTGGCAGTTGGTCCTTCCAATTTGATGCTCGTTATCGTCATTCACTTTTTAAGTTAATGTGATATTTACAGACAGACTGTCAAATTTTCTGACAACGGTCCAAACTATGTAATTGTGTGTGGGAACATTAGGTGCAACACATCTTTCGTTAATTAGAAATAACGAAATGAGTTTCAAAAACTGGAAATTTAAGTAATAAATACTTGTTAACAAAGTGTTTAAATTCAAGGGTTTCAAAGCATAATTAATATATGGGCAGCATGATTAATGCAATTCACGCGATGTCGGCCCTAATTCCAAGTTATACTGAGCACGAGCGAGCATAACTTAAACATAACCCGATTTGTCAATCTGGGCCTCCTCGGGTCTCGGCTGAAAGCAAACGGTGGCTCAGATTTAGTTCAACAAACTTCTCTTGGGGGTTACGCCTTAGTAATGTGACGACAATCAGCTATCTTAAGTCTGTTTATGTAAACCCCTCGTCTAATCCACTATTAATACCGCCCATCTTAGTTTTTGTCATCGACATTTGACAACCATTTTGTACAGTTAGTAAATTGGTTTGATGGCTCTCGCTTTAAACTCATTTGTATAAAAACTCTAATGCAGACGAACTACGAAACATGTAAAACACATCCTAAAGACTAAAATTCAGTCAGTTGTGAATCATAAGTCCAGATAAAAAGTAAGAAAAAATCAACAGTTGGCAGGGCGACACGACACGAGGCGTCCCATAAGTTGAATGGCTGGGCGCCAAAAGCCGTGCTCTTGGCGAATGTCTCAAGTGGTTTTTTCACTTATCTACATTTGCGTTTCAATTTTAAAATCGTATACAGGATTATGCCCTCATTTCAGAGCTTCATGCTAATGCAAATGACTTAGATGGGTACGAAATTTTTTTCTCCTGGAAGCGTGAATTATTCATTAGAGTGGAGATGTGTGTATCGATTATTTCTACCCTTGCTGATTTACTTTGTTCTTCGAATGAACTATAACAATTGTTTTCAATTCAAAGGGTGTTCCTGTTTAATCCAAAGATTAGCTATTAAATGTATTATGCACCTCGCAATTATTTTCAGCATTCGGGATCGGGTCAATGATCTATTCGGGTCTGGAGTTCGGACAGTATTGGGAGTTGGAGGCTAACACCAACTGCCACAATGTGCTACTGGCGCTGACGCCTGCCACGCGGATGGCCTTTATCTTCATACAGATGTATTTCATCTTTCTTAACAACGAGGTATGAATTTAGATTCTAAAACGTAAAAATACGTTATGTATATTTTTGTTGATGACAGCCAACTAATCTTGTCACTTTTGGAAATATGTATAATTTGGCGTGACTCCTACCAGGAATATCACAAATATGAATTTTGCGTCAAATGTGTTACTATTGAATGAATTAGTGACAGTTCTTCCCTTTCTCTTTACACTTACGTTGGCGATTGTTAGCCTTAAAGGGCTGCTACAATAATCTTTTTTTTTTGTATAATTCCAGATGAAAGTATACAAACACAAAATAGTTGCGAGATTTGGCTTGATGCATATGGTTGGCACAAACCTCAGCGTGTGGCTGAATGTACTAGTGCAGGAGACCAAACACGAGATACTCACGTTCTATGATCCAGAGAACAAAAATATCAGCCTTTCACATCGACTTGGTAAGTGTATTGGTTTATTCGGTTTTAATTATAACGTATACATGTATTTCTCTTGGACGAAAGTATTACTTCAACTGCCTCCGAGGCCGAACGATTACCATGCTGGTCTGTCTCGCAGAGGTCTCGGGTTTGATTCTCAGACCGGGAGAAATTTGTTTCAAACGGGAGAAGTTTGGGTGTAATTTTGTGGTTGTATGTATTTAAGAAAAAAAAAATCCTTCAGCGAGCTAAACCAAAACGTAAACTTTTGGCACCGCGTTATACAGAAAAACGTTTTCCACGTAAGATTTTCCATTAGCGTGCGCACGTACTATAAATACGAGATTCCATAACGGTTAATTATGGCCAGTTAAGTTAGTGGGAAAAGACAAGTTGGGCCGTAGAAGAAAGTTCTGGCTCATGGCCTGAGTGTGAAAAGACAGTGATAATGCAGAGCTATTCCACCTCGTAAAAGACAAGAGCAAGTTTGCGGCGATGAATCAAGGCCGTATGAAGACATTAGTCACCTATAATTGATATCTAATTCACAATAAAAACAAAGAGTGGTACCTAATAACTTAATAAACTAAATAGTGATGTGAGTGATACTGCGGATTTTCTGTTCTAACACAAAATGGACGTTAGGCGTATGGCATCTGAGGTTAATTTAAAGAAAAATCGTTAATTTTCAATTACATTGCACAAATATTTGTAGCAGTAGAGCTCCTTGTGAAAGAGTTCGTCCAGGGAAGTACTGCCAACTTACCTACTTCTGCCGCCAAGCAGTAATCTCAACATTACTGTGTTCCAGTTTTGAAGGGTAAGGGTGCTGGTGAAATTGCAGACACATGGGACTTGTCAATGTCTCAGGGTGAGGGGCGCAGTGGTAGTGCCCCTCAGATTTTGCAATTTAAAGCTCTGAGTGGCACTGTAACTGTCATGGTCTGGCGTGTAGTTTACCATCAAGCACTCGACTTGTTCGTCCCTCCACTTGATGTTATAAAAAAAAATAACTTGTTGAGTCAGTTAGAAAAGAGTCGGCTGCCGGTATTCTACGACCACCCACTGTTAAAAAAACAACCTGATGTGAAAGAAGTAATCGAAACTAGAATTCACAAAAAGCATTAGCGCACCCATGACTGGTACGATGGACCAAGATCGTTAAACCCGTGTACGGTTTAAGTAAAAGACGAATTAATAGTTTATTACCTTATTGTAATAGATAGGATAAGCAAGAGATAACATTCTTCGGTGCAAATAATATTTCTTCAACTATACTTACGTTTTTAATTTAAAATTGAATTGTTATTACGTGACCGCATACATGTATTTTACTTAATTATGTACAAAGGCCTAATCAAATAGGCCCGCATGTAACATAATTTCCACGACCGGTGGCGCCGACCGCAGATTTGCTTTGTGTAGCTAACAACCAAATGTATTTGATCAAGCGAATATTGCCTTCTGCCGGAACGTAATTGGCAAACCTAGCTTATTTTGGAATCCTACCAAACACTTACCAAAAGTATTAAGTAAAGTAACGGATAACTCACGTATATTGATCGAATTTTTGCTCGACATGTTTCGAATGAGTCCGTGGTCCTTGGAGTGGTTGCGCACGGCGGCTTTGTGTCGATGCAGTCGCGCGCTTGCTTCGCCGCTTAAAATCGAGCGCGTTTGCAATTAGCGACTGCATCGCTGCTAAAACTCACCGTGTGTAAGCCCATATAATCAGCTTCCGCGGTGATGACTCGACGGAAACTGCGCGCCCAAGCCTTGGCAGCCCGATTACTCTGTACGGCTGCAGGCGCAGGCGGTGTCGGCGAGCAACTAACTTCGTTTGTTTCATTATTATTAAAGTCATACGTAGGATTGCACACTGTACTAACAACGTCGTTTTCTAAAGCTTTATCCACACTGACCACTGACGTAGTACCTATCACTGTTTACCAGTCGGAAGGTACCGACCATCCACTATCACCACCAATTTCGATAGTTTCACGTACTTTCCGCGGAATGAAATGCTTTTATCTCGCCAGTACGAGCACTTTATCAAAACGAATATAGTGCGTTGAATCGGAATCAGTGATACGTGAATTATGCGCTAGTTAATTTGTCTGAGTTTCACGGTGGTTTTCTATTTCAAACTTATCAAGTGGTTCTGCTTTGGTGGTTGAACATATTAATACAGACAATGTCTATAGGCAATTTACATAGTCAATTTCTGTTTCATAACCAAAAACAATCCATTACTCAATTCTAATATTCCGTGCCCGCCCTGAGCATTGACCTGAAAAGCTGAAATTTGAGAAATAGGTAGATACCTTATAATGTTTCTTTGTCACGTAAACGTCATAAATCCAACTTTCCAAATGGACTCTGTATTCGTCAAGAAAATAGAATCTCCAGACCGTTCACGAGTCTGTACTGCCATCTTTTGACAGATATTTCTAATTCGGAAAACATATGTTTTCTGTAAAAGCGTACCATTTAATACAATTCAATCGCGTAATAGCTTCGATGTTTTTGTCTATTTTCAGAGGAGTAGGTAGCCCCATATTTCCTTTACCCGCATAATTTATTAGGGCCACTCCTCTAAGAATTTATTATTCTAACCTTTTGTAGACGATTTATCCACTTTTGTTTTTGGCTCCTAAAATTATTCAATGTAATTGGTTTCTCTTGTTTACATTTGGCGAAAAGTAAACAGTATCAAAAGCAAATTGTCAAACATTGAACCATTCTTTTAGTTTATAGTAATAAAATTAAGTAATATGTAAACCGTAAAAGTGTCAGACAGACAAGATTATTTTTAGAAAATAAAGCCATCTGTAGTCATGGCATCATAACGATTTATCGTCTTTTATATGGACGTGTTCTAGCAATTTATCCGAAGTTATGCCGATAACGTTCTTATCATGATCGAACCCGGAAGGCATTTTGACCCCATTTCGATGGGACATTCCTGTGCTGTTGGCAGTCTACGAGTTATGTAAGCTATTCCAATCCGGCACGACAACTATTAGTTAGATTAAATCGCGATAAGCATTGGCAAGTTTCCACGCAGGCTTTGTCCATGCTCGGCGAATATTAATTGTTTATTTTTTCTATTCCAGCGTTCCAGAAGGCTTTCCCAGCGCTGGATACAGAGGTGCCTGCGTCCCACCCAGCAGCAGCGCATCTTCGAGTGCCCCGAGGTCTAAAGGGTCCTCACCACATCTTCGAATGTCGTCGAACTAACATCATGGGTTCGCTCGTCCAAGACGCCTCACCGTTCCTATTTCCCTGCACTATTGAATATTCGCTTATTTGTGCTGCAATTCTATACGTCATGTGGAAAAATATCTCCAAATACCCATCTAAGGACGTCGCGGCGGCAATCGCCAAAGCTCGTCTCCTCGAAGGTTTGGCGTACAAGAAGTCACCCCATCTCTACAGCGTTGACTGCGCTAGAGCTCACAAAGGCCTGTTTTTTGGCATTCTGGTGTTAGTCCTAACAATCATATCACTCATCCTCTTCTTTGTGCTCGTATCGAGAAAGGAATATGCAACCTTGGCCGTGGTGGAAGTGAATTTATGCGAGTTGGTTCTTTATGCAATGACAACACTAGCCAGTTTGGCAGGAATGGTTTGTGTGAGAAAATTGAAATACGATGGAAATAGAAATCTGGAACTGGACAATATTTTGCTTGTCGGAGCACAAACCGGTATGTTTATCTACGGTACATTTACTATAATTGGAGGCCAGTTCACTATAGAAAAGAACACGATATTAATATTGGTAACAGCTTTATCGTCGCTGATACAGACGACTTGTCAGACAATGTTTATTTTGGATGCGAGTAGAAGATCTGCTAAAACTCCAGAGCAACTGAGGAAGAAGCCTGGGAGAGAAATTGTGACATTCCTTTTAGTGACTAATCTTGCTATGTGGGCCATTAACACGTTGGAGAAGTCTCGAGCAGAGTCGCATCCGGTTCAGTTACACTTTTATGGCCTCTGGGCGTGGACGATTATCACACACGTATCCATGCCGTTAGCAATCTTCTACAGGTTCCACTCGACAGTGTGTTTGTGCGAGATCTGGAAACGGGCTTACAAGATGAAGCCGGCCTATATGTAGCGACCGGTGCCTAGATACAGGTACAAGTACTAAAGGCTCATCAGGCAAGGACATTATATAGAGTAGAGAAGTGGCGTTGGTAGTTTGGTGTTTAAAATAGTGCCATAGATACGAAGTAGAGTGGTCGCCGGATCGTACACATCCCAGCACATATTGTGTGATATATTCTCGATAACGTTATTGTAAAAAGCTTTTTGTATTATAGTCATATTCGCGTCACATAATTATTCTCTGTTCATCCGGTCGCACTTGCCCATGTTAATTTTGAAGTTGACTGCTTAAATGTTAAGTTATTCTATTTAAATATTTTAATGTGTTATTTATTTGTAGCTTCATTGAACGCTTTAACTAGAGGAACTGATATGTTGAAGATTATTATTATTACGACAGTATTTCATAGCCCGTCTAGGGTTAGATTTTTATTATTAGCGCTTGATTACACGCTATATTTTCCTGCGATTGTAGTTTTAAAAATATATTGTTGTATTCGTGAATATTATTATTGTATAAGACTTGTGTTCATAGCTCATCCTATTTATGTACATTTAGATTTATCGTCGATTATAAACTTTTTACTCAAGTTCATAATTATACATTCCATTTGATTGTGAATCCGTTTGCAGCAAAATTTCAAAATGCCCAGGATTCAAATTCATGTCTTCCAATAGGTTACGTTGTTTTGTACGTTTTTTGCCTTTTTATTGTCTTTAATTACAATAGCCTTCTTAGTGTTTCAGAGGGAACAATAATATCGACCTAAACATACATATTTTTTGTAACGTTTTTGAGCAAGTCTTTAATTCAAGATTGTAAAATTAAAAGACATTTTTATTGACGAAGACTTGTAGTCTAATCAGATTTTTAGAAATTTTGTAGCGATATTTTTGCGATATAAAGTAGTGTCTGTATTTTCGAAAAATTTTTGAACAAATAGCGGTTATTGAACACCGAGGACCCAATAGTTAGACAAAAGGTATAACACCAAAGTATTATATTGTGAAGTAGGAATTATTGGAGCTTACTACGGAAGTAGAGTATTTTCTCTTAGATCGTCTATAAGCGCTCGGTAGGGTACATAACACCAAATTCATGAGATTATTTCGTTTATAGACTTAGTGGCTATTTCGTCCAGAAATTTTCAACTGTTCATTAACGATTATACAAAAACAATGAACGTCAAATATTATATGAAAGCAATAATTGCGAAACAAAACTTTGCTCAAGAATTCAAGATAATGTAGTTGGTATTGGGGGCGATTCACAAACAAACTATTGGCTTTGTAGAACGCACTTATCAAAAAACTATTATTCAAACTTATTATGTACACTTACCTTCGTCACTTATACAGTCTATTTACATCGGGTAAGATTGTTGCCACATCATTGTACATCAAATTTAAAAAAAAACTTGTCAACACCTAAATGACCAATTATTAAGCAAGAATTTTCAGTCCATCGTGCGTGTAGTATTGCACAAGGCCATAAAGTGATGTACCATTTTTATGTAATTAATAGTACGTACTATGATTGTAATAAATGTTTGATATTGTAACAAGCAATAACGTTCGTATACCTCAGATACTCGTAAATCTCATTTTTATCAATTTTGTATTAATGATAGTTAAGTTAAATCTAGAATCTGTTGCTTGAATAATAATTTGCGTTAGGTTATGGTCCCAGTTTTCAGAGATTTTAGAAAACGAAAAAGTTTGATAACTCTTTTATATTTATGAATTAATCGTAGTAATTTATACAATTTATTGTAGTGTAAAATATTATGAACTTATAAATAAGCTATTTAAATGGAATACTCAAATAATGAAGAATGTAGCTTTAAATTACGAAATCAATACATACCAAACTTATGACAATGACATTGATGCTTTTCTTGGCTCAAATTTTTCTATGATATAATATTTTCTATTTGTGAATACTTATGCTTATAATTTTATAAATTACTTCTAAAAGTATACTTGAAAAGCATCTATCTTTCCTTGCCATCCCTTCATTATATTTGTGCTGGAGAATGTTTCCGCTATTTTGATATAAAAGTAAGAAATTGCAATAAACAATGTAATATCACGCAGCCTTTGTTATTGTGGATTTGGGTGTTTGGTATATCACAGCTTCAAAGCTTTACATAAACTCTTTAATGTACCATATTCACATTACGTAAAGTCGCCATTACGGTAGAAAAAATTGACAAACACTTTGTTGACTTGCATCATTAACAACACAATGGTGGACCTCAAAAGCCCAAACGTTGTCAATTCAAAGTTCAAAAAAGGACTTGAAAGCCTTTAAATGTTCTGTAAACATATATTATCTTTCTTTGAACTGATAGAGGGTGCAAGATGATGACGAGGGACCGTCCCCTCGGCTCTCTAACCCATGAGAAGTGGATTCAAATCTCACAATCCATATGGGTGAGAAAATCAGCACCAGCTATGACATATTTTTAATAAAAGTAGTGCGTTTCTATTAAAACATTATGAAATCTGCTTAATATCTTTCAATATCCACCTACGCCTATACCAAATATTTGTTAGATGCCTTTTTATCTAAGTCCATTACGGCATTTTGTAAAATACATAGTGATACTAGAGTTATTTCTAACTATATACTTATTTGTGAAGCTATTTATTTGTGTAGGAGAGATTGCTGATAGGTCTAAGATTGTCTTCATGGATGTTTAATGTTTACAAGCGAATAAAAAATCTTGAAATTCCTAATATTGTATTTTCATTTGACATCTTTGAGATAATGATATATTTGCTGATAAAACTTTGCTGTGAATGAAAAAAAATCTTCTAAATAATGAATAAATCAACAAAATAAAACAGTTATTTAGATATCACAATATCATAATAGTACATTACGATATTAGTGCGTAAAGATGGTTATAACATGCGAGGCGGAGTTTTAGCTTGATTGAGCCGAGCATGTTATAACCAATACGCAGGTATATCGTACGACGTTTTTTAACACATTTGCGAGGAAACAGAAAAAAAACATTTTATATTTTGTTCATTTTTAATTATTGAAACATAAACTCAATCTGTGAATGCACACTGTTGCTTTCCCGCCATTTTAACAGAACTGCCTACTGACTGGCGCCGCGCGGCGATTTGTTCGAAATTTGAATAGCAACAGCGCGCTGCTCACTAGCTGGAGTCGTGCGGCGGCGATCAGTTCCATATTTGAAATGGCAAATAATACTGTTATGGAATTTGTATGGACTATAACTTAACTATTTGCTTTGGTAATACACGCGTTTTTTATGACCCGCTTTACATATTTAAAACCGGTGGAATTACACCAGCTTTACGAGCAAGGGTGTTAAAAAATTTATTACTTAACAAATGAATTCATCATTACAGTTAATATGATTGAACACCCAAACATGTTTCTTAGTTGACCTTATCAATTAAGTTATTTCTACGAAAACATATTTGTTTCAGTCACATATTGCGAGTTTCTTCAATACAGTTAATTCAAACTTGACTGGGCCTGTAATGGTGATTTGATCAATTTTAAACTTGATGGATACATACAAGTTTTGCTATAACTCTGATAATGATGCAGTAATCAATTTAATTCTAATTATGTATATGTTTTTTTTAATCCATTATTGTCCTTGTATAATAATGTATTAGCTAGGTAAACACCTTCCTAGACTAGTAAATAAAGTTCAAAGTTCATTGATGTATTGTTAAAACTGTCTAGACTATCCATCAAGTCAATCCATGGAATGGATCGACGTACATACTGCACAATATCAACAACATTTCGTGAGCGGATGAATGGTCGCCCACTCGGCCGCGTATTCAGCCTGGCCATGACGGGTGACACCTACTCTTTAGGCAATGCGCTCAATTGCTTTTGTGATGGTAATCAATGGTTGGTCTTCAATAGTGAAAGGCGAGAATTTGGATTAAGTCATTATAAAAATAAACCAATCCGCAGGTCGGTTTTGCGTTACACCTAAAGCGATGGTAGCGGTGGGAGAAACGCTGCTTCTCAATCAACTATTCGAAAGAATAATTCTTAAGTTACGACCGTTTGTGAATGTTTAAAAGCAATACCTCTCGCTAACCTTGAAGGAAAGCTGCCCGCCTAAGAAAGTTCACACCCTCAAACCGACAAATATAGTAGAAGTGTTTAGTTTGCGTGATACGTGTGAATTTGAGCTCAGTCCGTCGCGTAAAACCTCGAAAAACGTAGAAAAATGCCTTATTTCGCTAATTAGGAGTGCAAAACTGGTACTTGCACTTGTCATATTATCCATGGTTGAGTATCATATCATCCTTAAGTCTCACTTAATTTAATTTTAATGTTTACAATTTTCTGTTTATTGTAATAAATTTTTGGTTACAAGAAACGAAAATAAATCTTATACCGCTGCAATATGGTCGCTTTTTTTTGGAGAACTACGTAAACATCACGAATTAGCTGTTATTCATCTATAAACCTCTATATGGCGGCACGTTTATAGAAATTTCAATATGAAATCAAAACGTTGTACTTGCAATAATGGGTTATGAACTTTTAACGATGTACCAACACGTTAACGTTTAAATCATATTAACAATCATATTATCAAGATTCATACTCGTAGTGTTTCACATTATATATGTGTGAGTTTTGGCTACAGCGGTTCTGATTGAAATCGAGGCTTAAGGTACTTCGATTGTTTCTCTTTCTTCCGTGCCTAAAACAGACTGATGATAATGATGTTGTTGATACTGCAGTAATCGTATTTAGCTATTTGCTTTTTATTGCGCTTATATCTACTTTGTTTAGAAGCAATTGATATGTGGTGCTTAAGAAAAGAAAAGTGTAGTAATAGAGACACATATTAAAGGTAACAGAGAACCGAAGAGGCAAGAAGTTTGAGCATTTAATAACGTCATGATAGTTTTCTTAGAAGTATCATAGAAAGGAAGATCGAAAGAAAGAGAGGCAGAAGAAGACTGAGACGAAGTTATTTACATCAGATAAAGGAAAAAAATAATTTTATGTCGTATCAAAGTTAGGGCGCTGATTGCAGATGGTTTGGATGATGGATGGACAAGTGCCTATTTCTAGATAATGTCAAGAAACTAACCACTATTTTAAACGTAACTGAATTCTAGTGTAATATTGCACTCTCGTTGAAGAAAAGGCAAAATTCGAAAAGGCATATTTTATTATTTATTATATTAAGCCAAATTACTCATTTAAAACAAACCTTGAGCCGAAAAATTGGTTTTTTATCTGAGACATAAATTAAATCAATGTATATTGTATAATTCTGAGCTAATGTTTGATTTGTATAAATTAACTTTGAGTTCATGTTGAGCCCCAAAACTAAGACAAATGAGCATAACCTGAAACCGTGTTCGGAAACGCAAACAAATTCGCTTCGGGCACTCGCGGGCCGCTGCCGAGTCACGCTCGCTTCGCTCGTTCGGCTCGTCTTGTTTTTTTTATCGTCACTAAACCTTCGTGGATACCTTCCGCTCGGGGGAAGCGAAGGGTTATATCCGGAGTCACGGGGGCGTTTTCGCATTCTTCCGCGACTCCGACTGCTTTTTCAAAGCCTAACCTAATCTAACGTACTGAATGAAGGGCGGAACCAAGGTTTGACCTATATGAAAAAAGAGGATCAAGTATTTTTGAGTATCAAGTATTAATTTAGTTAGTATTAAGCATATAGTTATGTTTAAACACGATAGTGTTACCTTGAATGCAGGCAATTTGTAATTTAGCCGTAGATCAACTACTATAGACGGAACAGTTAATATATATATATTAAATATAAAAAAAATGTCGTTTATTTAAAAAAATGCACATTTGCAGTAGATCAAATTATATTATCCTAATAAATATATGTGTTTTAGAACTGAAAAAATTTTATTTGTATGTTTCTCAAAAATTATTGTCGAATTACGATATGAACTTTGTCTCTAATATTTAATTGACAATTACGGTTTATCAGTACAAAAGCACCATTCAAATTATCATGAAACAAAACTGGTTATGCTCTTCACAACATTTATCAAATAAAGATAACCTTTCTAAAGCTAAAAGAAAGAGTTTATCAGCTAACAGGTCATGTGGGGAAAGCTTGAAGGGCTGTGATTGGTGCTCAACACTGAACACGCCGAGTAAATGGTACATTAGGGCTTGTCTATATTAAGAGATTCAACTCTCTCCGAGCTCCAGTGTATAATCGGCATTTAAAGTTATTAACGTCCTAGTTTTAACTTTCATGGATGTAGATAAGAAAGTATGTGTGCATATGGGAGAACGATTTTAACAATTGAAATGCTTGCTTTTACTTCTGCTTTAATGGCACGTATATTTACATAAATTCGAAGGAAGTAATATCAAAAAGCGTATATTACCTCCCTCTCAAATTCCGTATATATGTAGGTATTGTATTGTGTTTTCTTCCATATATTTGACATATAAACAATAGCTTTAGTATGGTATCTTGAGAAGAAAAGTTTTGTAATTGGAACTAAAAATATATATTATTTACATACTTTATATACATTATTACACTTTACGCTCTGGGTAAGGGGTAGACCGAGACCACAGCTTTCCACTTGCTACAACTCTGACAAACTTGTTTTGTTTCTTCATCACGCATCAGCACATTCATACATACTCGTTGGTTAAGGCTACTCTATAGGTGTCCTCAATTTGGTTGCTAGCAGCGTTGCCCCATTTGAAAACTAAGGTAATGCGTTGGGCAAGGTAACTAAAAGAAAGCCTTCGGGTTGCCCAGACAGTCTATTAATATTTTTGATAAAATTTTGTACGGATGAAGGGCACCAGGACCCCATGGGCCAATGATTTCGACTCCAAAGGCTGTAAATACGTACTCGGAGCCGAGATCCTGGTATTTTTTTTTCTTATAATATCAAGTGATATGATGGACAATTCGTGCGCCTCATGGTAAGCTGCTCGCCGTCCTTAGCAGTGGCAATGCCACTCAGAGCTCTAAATAGCAAAGATCTGAGAGGTACTGCCACTGGGCACGTCATCCTGAGACATAAGTTAACAAGTCCCATGTGCCGGTAATTTCACTAGCATCCTTACCCCTCAATAGACTTCCGCCCCTGTGTTGTGGATATTCCAAAGATTCGCACGAAGCGTTACGCTTCCACAGTTATATGGCGAACGGCTATGGAGTGGAATTCCCTGCCTGTAGACTTGTTCCCTGAACGTTATAACTTGGGTCTTTTCAAGGCGAGAGTGAATAGGGATTATTTAGGTGTGCATGCTCCACCGTCGACCTCATCGTCACTTTCCATCAGGTGAGATGGAGGTCAAATGCACACTTACATTAGAATAAAAAAATACATTAAAATGAGGCACGGCATTAGATCAATTTAAGTGTTTATTAAAACAGTGGTTGAAAGAAAAAACATATTATAGTATAAATGAAATATTTCATAATTATTCAGAAATCAGAAATCAGAAACATTTACTCATTGACTTACAATCATATGGACGACGGGTCCGCGCTAAAAAGTGTCCGAACTTATAGGGCGTTAAAATCGTATACAGAGCGTCATTCACGCTTTAGTCTTCGTTTGTTCGACTGACAGCGAAGCAAGCAAAATTAGATAGTACTGCGGTGACATTACAATTTAAATTCAACGTTTTAGCTTTTTCGTGTTCCTTTACATGTCACTACGTTTAAATAGGTTGACTTGGGACATTTTTTTCGTG